GCTATACTATGATTGCTAATTATTGCTAATTATGGTAGTCGCCATTCTGGTATGAGGTTGCCGATTTTGGTAAATCGTTGATTCGTATAGGTGTGTTGCACTTATGTGTTACGGGCGTGATCGGACGAGGTGTCGGGTGTGTTGACCTGTACATCGGAGGCGCTGTGTGAGCCCAATCGGGATTGTTCGATAATCATCATGCGAGATTGTAGCATTTTTATTCGATAATGACCTTTGCCTATGGATGATCACATGCTTCTTAGCGTAATACCAACACCATTTTCAAGTGAATTCTCTTAAATATATATTTTCAATTAACAAAATAACCGCCGAAATATTTAAATTCGTTGGATTTCCGCTTAATTTCTTATTGACATGCAATCTCCTAAAAGAGTGATTTTTCAAGCTGTTCGTTAAATCCTAGCTTTCTTGACGATTTAACAGGTTAGGAAAAAATCGAAAAAAAAGGAATTTATGACCGGAGACTTTTGAATTAAAAATAATTCATATTGTTGGTCCAACTAAAGTAGAATGTATTATAATTATCGGTTTTTAACTTATTTGCTAACAGAAGCAATGAATCAATTAGGTCCTGAAACTTGTACAAATGGGAACGACTCGGAATTATTTCACTTTTTGACAGGAGGTCCATATGCAATGTCCAGGCAATCGATATTTTACATAAAATATTCCTTTGATAAAAATTGGATTTTGAAATGAAGTTCATTCCATTTCCTCCTAAGCTTAAACAAAATAGATGGAATTACTAATAACACTCAACAAATTGACCTGAGAGGTAGGTAGATATGAAAATAATAGACAACCTAATGTAATCGTTCAGGCAGTTTTAATTGAAAAAGACATAGTTAAACTTTGGACGGAGATAAGATATTATGAAATTTATGGTGATTGCAATGCAAAGAGCACTTCTTATTCTATTTCCTCCCAATCTTTCTGCAAAATGGATGCTTTATTGTAAGTGAACGTCCTCAGGAATTAATAGACCTTAGCTTTCTTGGGGCATTTTTATACTTTTCGAGAGGCGCTTAAGATGTAGAAATCTTAACTGTTAATTAATATGTTTATAATTGTTAAGAAAGAGTTTCGAACTAGATTTTCGTTGGAATGTTTAATAGAGTTATTAACAACTTCACAGAATATAAATGATCTTGAAATATGGAAATTTCTATATACACATCTGCGTAATTCGGAATTGGATCTGATTCGAGTTTAACGACACGATGTTTCAAAGAAAATTTTGACCTTCGTTTATTAAGATATATAAATTCAACAAAATCCCGATAATGAAATGTATCAATTTTTTATTTAAGTCAACATGCGATACTTTTTTGTAAATTGTAATGTTAAGAACTTTTTCCACCCTTTACATTTAGATGATATACAATACCTCAATGTAATTATAATCATATTCTAAGCATATTTTAACGTTACAGTATTTGCCCTTTTGATTGGTATAGAGATAACATAAATTTATTACCATTACCAACAACGGAAGAAATTTACATACAGTACACATTAAATTCAAACTCAAAGAGAAAGTCCTAAACAAGAATTGGAAGATTGGCTTTCAAATTTCAGGATATATATTTCAATATATTATGGGTGATTTTAAATAATAAGCAAACTCATTTTATTACAGGAGTGCTTCTTCGGGGTATAATCCCAACTAATAATCTGAACGATTTGATATTTAGTTGCTTATTTCTATTATATAAGAGGCGGGTATATATGAATTGTGAAGGTGCTTATTTTCGGAGAAATACAGTAACTTTTTATGATACAAAATTAATGGAAGCAAAATTTTTTAAAATCAGATGAATAAGAAAAAAATATGAATAATTAATCTTTAAGTTATTGCTATAGAATGTATAGTAACATTAATAAGTCAGATGTTATCGGTTAAGATCGTAAAACCCATTCTTTGGTGTTCAAGATATATCTGATAAAATGAGAAATTCCATTTTACAATTTTGACTAATATATGAACGGTTAATTTATGTTAAATTCAATTCGTTTACAATCATGTCTAATCATTCACTAAAGAAAGAAACTCGTAAACTAATATTGCTAAGAATGCATTTTTTTAAAAAAAATGCTGAGGTACTTTGATATTCGGAATAGTTAATTGCTTTGCTCTTACTGTATTCAAAGCTATGTAAATTAAAATCTTATGTAGTTAATTAATTCAGATCAATTTGAACCTAGTTGAATCAATTCTCTTTGAATTACTCAAAGCGTAGGTTATAATCTTACATATAAATCAACTAAATAATCAAATCTATGTTAGCAAACTATAGAATTTGAGCTATATAAACAAAACTAAAGCTTTGGGCTAGATCATTACAAATAATACATCTTTATTCATTAAAACAATCTATTTTAAAAATTATTCAACTAATTAACTTAATAAATTTCCTAAATTTTTACATGTTTATTAAGTGTTAAAGAACAAGTTATGATAAAGGCTTTTTATTAATATACAAGTTTAAGTATTTGACTAATAAGATATGCCGTATTTGCGCGTAATAACGCACATGGGCGTTATTTCGAAACTCTCATTTTAAAAATTTGTTTTTTTGACTAAAATAACGCCCATGCGCGTCCCAAAATAACGCGCCCCCTTAAATATACCATATTACACATTTGATCGAATTTTTCAGGCTAAGTTCATTAATAAAAGTATGGCTTCTTCTTGTAACCCAAATTTGTCAAAATGATTCGAATTAACGCGCATGCGCGTCCCGAAATAACGCGCAGGGTCTCAAAATAACGCGCATCTACGCGCTATTACGCGCAAATACGGTATAAATTTTATTAAAAATTTATATTCATTAGTACAAATAAAACTTTCACAAATAAATCACACATAACTTTTTTGAAACAACTCTTTGCAAGTGTTTTTTAATTAATGAATAGGATTTAGGCTTTTTTTACTAGATTAGACAGTTGAATAATTTTAATATTAAAAATCTGTTATTCAATAATGTAAATTTATTTATAATATAGATAATGAAAAAATAATTTTTAAAATTTGCTACTATTTTGCAAATACAGATGTACTAATTTAGTATAATGTTAAATAAAAGCTATTAGGTGGCTAAATATAAAAAAAACTAAAATTTTTTAAAAAACAGTAAAATAAACGTTAGACAATAAAATAAAAACAAAAATTTAATCTTGTTGCCAAATTTCGAAAGTAAATAAAAAAAATTTATTTTCTATTGAAGATATCATCCGTAGTGTTCCTATTTCATTAATTAAGTAAGTACTGTTAATTTATTGAGTAGTGAGTATTTACCGTCATACGCCTTCGTTATCTCCAGTTCTCACTAATTATCAAGATATTTGAAATAATTAAAATAATGATTACCAGTACAAAAGCTACAAAAGCGAAAGTTTTATTTACTATACAGAGTACTGTATTATTAAAGGCAAAAGCAAAAGGAAATTTTTTTTTTCCTTCTCTTATATATGTTGTGCGTAAGATTAAAACCTGCGTCAGATTGCAATCAATTGACCAACATTAAATGATCGGCAATAATTGGCCTAAAAAAACTCCT